TCTCTTGTGGACGTCTTCTCTTTGCAGAGGAAGAAAAATCCCTTGTGGACAAAGATGCGAGAGAGAGACTCCTTGGTGCAATCAGTGGAGATAGACAAAGAAAAGCTTCTTTTTTCCTTTGGAGAAAGCTTCCTCCGTCTCTCTCTCGGCTTGGACCACTCCAGACAAAGACCACCGCTTCCAAGTCTTCTCCTTTTTTGTGCTTTTGGTCGCTCTCTTTCTTTCTCCGGATTGTCTCTTTTTTTTCCTCTCTTTTGGCCGTGATCTTGAAAATTATGAGAGCCCCCCTTTGATTATGACGCATAACGACATATTTATATCGCAACCCTAGGTTAATTAACCGGGCTTCCTAGTCCTAATGGGCTTAGGCTTGGGCTTAGGTTTAATTTAATTTAAATGGGCTGATTTAACTTGGGCTTTTATTTAATTAAGCATAATGGGCTGAATTAAACTCAAATTAAAACAACCGAGCCCGTTTGACTTGTAATTCCCAGCCCTTGCCTTCCGAGCGAGCCGAGTCTCATTCGATGAAATTTTAAGCTCATTCGCCACTGCCAATCTGATGCAAAAAATGCAATTAAATTAAATGGACCTAAACTATATGTTTATTCAATTTAAATATTTTTGTTTAGGGGTTAAAAATTTAATCCCTAATTTTCTATGCAAATTACACTAAATGATACGCCAAAATTTAGGTGTCAACATATGGTATCCCAGGTTTTGATCCCATTCCTCACAACTGGGCAAGCGTGAAGGATGAAGAAGAAGAAGATGAGCCTGAACCGGTGGAAGATCTCTCAAGATTCTCCTGGGTGAAAGGCCGAAAGACTCCTGCTTTTATGAATTCGTCATAATTTCTAGGCCGAAAGGAGTCTGCCAGTCTTCTCCCTTTTTCAAAAATTTTCATAATTATGTATGTCCACTGTTCACTGTAACACTGTGCACTTACTACTATTAGCTACAGTACTACCCGTGAACTATTTTCTACAGGAGCTCAACTTGCCTATATAATCGGACCCCATTCCTTTGAAGGGGGCAGAACATTTTTTCAAACCCTTTCTCTCAGAATTCCAAACCTCTCCAGCTTCTCCAGATCTCCCAAACCTTCTTCGAGGGAATAAGAGATCATTCATCTCAAAACCTTTCCATAACCTTTCCATACCCAGTAAGTTTATGATCCCTGTAAAGATCTTGTCCCATACTTTCTAGTTTTCATAGTGTGGAAAATCTTATCGTTCTAGACTACCAAATAGTCTGAGTAACGGGAGAATTTCTACCAAAGAAATTTTCTTACTTCTGCACCTGTACTTCGATATTTGCATTCTGTAACCTTTCAATACTATTATTGTAATCTTTCCATACTATTTATATAACAGTTATTTCTAATTTCTTCTGTACATTTACATCTACATACCCCACAAACGGCAGGTCGAACTGCCTGTGGATGGTTTGTACTCTACTTTAAAGCAATTCTCTGCAATTGTTATATATCCTTACTTCTTCTTACCGTTTTGCCCTTCTCATTTTTGCTTAACAAATACCACCTACATGGTTGGTTTAGAATTTTTAGCAATTCTTCTTCTCATTCTATATATTGCTTACGGTTTCTTTATTATTTATAATGCTCGCGCTTTTATTTAATTTCATTTATTTAATAATTTTCTGTGTAGAAATCTGCACTTTCATATTAGAATATATCTTTGCAGTAGCTAGATCTAGGGAAGTATCTCAGATCCTTTATCTATTTTCTCAATATAATAAATATTTTGAATATTTAGAGAGACGATTAAAAATTACATACATCTTTACTGCCCTAATCTTTTTATTACAATTTCCTAGTTTTGTTTCTAATAAAATAAAACGATCAGATTAATACTTCTATATTAATACTTCTATATATATATATATATATGTCCAGATTCAAATTTAGAAATAAGTATAACTAGATTTAGAGAGTAAAAATCTACTTGGGTTTAAAAATAGATATATATATGGATTTTGAGAGTAAAATCTACTCGGTTCAGAAAATACATTTTCAGATTTTGAGAGTAAAATCTACTCGAGTTCAGAAATAAATATATCCAGATTTTGAGGGTAAAATCTACTCAATTAAGAATATATATATATATATATAAAGATTTTGAAAGTAAAGTCTATTCGAGTTCAGAAATACATATATCAAGATTTTGAAAGTAAAGTCTACTCAAGTTTAGAAAAACATATATTCAGATTTTGAAAGTAAAGTCTACTCGAGTTCAAAAATCAATATGTCCAGATTCAAAGAGAAAAATCTACTCAATTCAAAAATCAATAGATTTTACAAACGACGATTAAGCCTAAACTTACAAATATGATTTTTATGAGTTCATATTCATCATTTCCACTTATTAAATGTACTCCACTTTAAGTAAAATGATTAATTACCTTTTAAACATGCATAAGACCAGCAGGACAAATTCAACAATCACCTCAAGGATATCATTTCCATGCTCAAATTTAACGATTTCACTTGCCAATTATACCACACTTTAAGAAAACAAATCACACCAATTTTTAACATGCTTGAGACCAATCAAAAAATTCCACATATCACCATATTCTCAATATTGTAACACATCAAAATAGCATATCACAACCATCCAAGTTAAAAGTAACAAGTAGATTGATCTAACTTAACTCTAAAGCCTTTGCTTACCTCAAAAGGAACTTGACCAATTCAAAGCTCTAATCACCTTGATGAAGTTGTTCCTTTCATTTTTAGAATTTTAAAAGTAGCGAAGCATTTCCCTTTGAAGTCTTTTTGGTAAAAAGGGTTTGGCTATCGTAAGGATTATGCTTCCTTTCCTTAGAATTAATGTTCTAACTCTTAAGTGAAAGAAAACAAGTGTAAGCTTGCATGTAGAAGGAAGGCTACGTGTGATAAGCTCACAAAAATTTCATCTTTCCATACCATTTGTTGTACAAATAAAACATACGAGTGGATTAGCTAATAGTAGAAGAGATGATGCCTAACCTATATGTGCAAGTGTCTCCACCTTAAGAAGACAACTAATCCATTCATGCAAGATTAGAAGAGAACATGTGGTCATGTCTCACCTAGTGGATGGTCAAATGGGAGAAGAATTTGATGACTAATCCCTGTAATGATGACACTTAGTCTTTAGGTGTCAAGTTAGCAAGAGTCTCACTTTGGGAGAGACACATGGCTTGCATGTATCCTTATAAGGCCATGAAGGCATTATGTGTCCAGGTTGGAAGAGTTCTAATTTTGAGAAAGACACTTGGCCTTACATGAAATCTTAGAATGACACATACGTATAATGTGGTCTCTTATGCTATCTAAGAAAAACAAGTTAAAAGGTAATATTGTGAGAAACTCTCCTCCCGTGGCCAAATAAGTGGGTCTCTATAAACATGAGTAAATGGTTTTTAGAATTAGTTAACTAGGATAAAAAATAAATAGCGAAACCCATGGCACTTGATATTACCCAAAATTATTAATAAATCATACCGAATGCTAAGAAAATCTCGGTTTAGTAAATTCAAACTCGATAATCATGTAATTTCAAAATATCCATCCCAATCGACAATTAGCATCACTTTAATAATCATCATACACATCATCATTATCAATTGAATTTCAACGCGTCGGACTCGGAATGATTGTGTTCGCGGAAAATCATCCTCCACATCTCACAAGATTTACGAACCATCTAAGATTTCTACGTGTCCATCCGAATTTCAAGCTAAATAATATTTAGTTTTATCATCTAATTATTATTATCGAACACCGAAAATTCCTAATGCCACTAAATATTATTATGGAGATTCCGGATGTCACATCATCCCAATCTCTCGACAAATTCATCAAATCCCGGAATAACCTCTCTAAGCCCACACCGAAACTCTGGCCTGACGTTGTCAGGCGACGAATTCTAATCACAAAAGATGAAGAAGTTGACGTATTGAAGTTAGCCCATCCGATTCTGCGCAGACTGGAGTCGTGTAATAGAGTCAGAGAATTCAACCAAGTCCATGCTCAACTAGTTGTCACTCGTCTCTCTCAATACTCTCTTGCCACCAGCCGAGCTGTGAAGAAGCTCTGTTCTTTAGGTGACGTTGTTCATGCGGCTACGTTCTTCAAGTGTACCCAAGAGCCCGACACTTTTCTGTGCAATACTATTATGAGAACTTATGTCCACGTGCATGATGCGTGCAGTGCTACGAGATTTTATCACGACGAGATGGTGGGGAACGATGTTGCGCCAAATCACTATACATTTCCCATTTTTATGAAAGGGTTTGTGGTGATTGGGTCATCGACCGATGGAGAGAAGGTTCATGGCAGGGTGTTAAAACTTGGGTTCGAGTCGGATTTATTCGTGAGGAATGCATTGATTCACATGTATTCGGTTTTTCGAAAAGCCAGAAGGGCGCACTTGGTGTTTGATGCAGGGCCTGTGTTTGATTTGGTTAGCTAAAATTCCATAATTGATGGTCATGTGAAGAAAGGGGAAGTGGATGTAGCTCACGAACTTTTCGATGAAATGACCGAAAGGGACGTCTTCAGTTGGAACTCGATGATTGCAGGTTATGTTGCGTGATGGGACATGGGCGAGGCACGATGGTTGTTTGATTGAATGCAGTTTAGGGACATCATGTTGTGGAATCGTATAATCGATGGGTGTGCAAGGATTGGAAACGTGTCAGAGGCTCGCAATTTTTTTTTATTCTATGCCTTTCCCGAATATAGTTTTATGGAATACCTTGTTGGCTCTTTATGTACATGTTAAAGGTTATGCGGACTGTTTGAGTTTGTTTGATAGTACGCTACAAGAGGAAGAGATTAATCCCAGTAGGGCTACTCTTGTGAGTGCTTTCACGGCGTGTGCCAATACAGGGGACCTCAATAAAGGCCACTTAGTTTATTCTTACATGAAGGATAATGACATTGAAGCCGACATGCTGCTTTCAACTGCGCTATTGACAATGTATGCAAAATGTGGCACTATGGATTTAGCCAGGAAGTGTTTGATCAAGTGCCTGATAGAAGTGTTGTCTCGTGGAATGCTATGATCATGGGGTATGGATTACTTGGGCATGGCAAGAAAGCCCCGGAAATGTTCTTGGAGATAGAGAAGAGAGGTCCAATGCCAAATGATGCTACCTTTGTTAGCATATTATCTGCTTGCACACATTCCGGAATGGTTTTGGAAGGTCAGTGGTGTTTCAACCTGATGTCCCGGGTTTACAATAACCAACCTAAGGTGGAGCACTATGGTTTCATGGTCGATCTTCTTGCTTGGGCTGGGTTGGTGAAGGATTCAGGAGAGTTGATTGAAGAAGTACCTATAGAGGCAAGATCTTCACTATGGGATGCTCTGCTTTCTGCCTGTAGGACCCATTCTCACATGGAACTAGGAGAGATGGTGGCCAAGCGTTCGATCGAGTTAGAACCAACAGATGTTGGGCCCTATGTGCTATTGTCAAACATGTATGCAACCGACGGTAATTGGGATGCCGTCGAGAATGTCAAGATGATGATGAAGGCAAAGGGTTTGCAAAAGGAAGTCGAATCCAGCCTCATTCAACTTGGAGGCGTCGAATCTACAGAGTCCACAAAAGATGGCAAGGCCCAGTAGAGAAGTACGATTTACTCGATGTTGAGTGAGATCGATTCACAGATAAAAGTGTCATGTAGAGACTCCAGAGCAATTTAGGATCAAGAGTAGAGGGAGACTAAACTATATTGTTGGATTTTGTCGAAGATCCGTGTTGTGCATATTCTGCAGAATTGAAGGTGAAGACATTCTCTATGCGTTGCTTCTATATGTTTGCATGTACAGCACATCTCCCGGTTAAAGGAAAATCGCAATATGCGAATTCATGAGTGCACCCATCTCCAAGTTATTGAGAATTGTTGCTGGAACACTACTTTGGAAGGAAGATGCTGCGAGAAGTTTTTACCCTTGACAATTTTACGCTAAACTAATTTTTTGACAACCAAAAACCTCAAATTAGTACATTTGTGATAAATTTACCCTCCATCACATTTGATTAATACCACGAAAAATTACAAACAGGTACACCTGTGACAAATGGAGGATAAAACCCCAAATTGGTAACTGATACACCTGTCAACTGTCACTTGTCATCCAACTCAGAATTTTGACGGTAAAATTTAACGGAAATAAGCATGGTGTAAAATTGTCACTGATGCACTAATTTGGAATTTTTAGTGGTCAAAAAATTAGTTTGAGATAAAATTATCACAGATATACCAATTCGAGATTTTTCGTGGTATTAACCCTTTTTAACATTCACAATTTGCACTTTGTGTAGTATTATTAAATTTTTGCATATTTTAATCGGGTCAAATACAGATATTTTAGAGAAAAAAGAGAACATTTATCTAACGAGAAAATATATACATGTTAGGTATCTTTTCTTATATTATGGTAGGAGAATCTCGAATAATCCATGGAATGCTCACATTATGGAAAGAGAATTTCGAATTATTTAATTGCATACCGCTACAGCATATTATCTTACCAAGTAATGCTAGTGGGCATTTAGGTTATATCAGCACTGAATATTTGCAAGTTAATTACTATTAATTCAATTTTAGATCTTGCATTCACTCAGTCTCCAAAAATACCATGCTTTAGACATCGGCAAAAGTACACCAGAAGTGCCATAACTTGTGTACGGCGATCACTTTGGTGCCATAACTTTTTTTCGGATCACTTTGGTGCCAAGTCGGAGGAAAAGAGATCACTTTAGTGCCAATTTGGCCGGAAATCCGATGTTGCATTTTTTATTAATTTTTTATGTCGACGTGGCTCGCCGGAGGCTGAGTCAGCGTGTACAATCAGCATTTTTTATTTTAAATAATTTTTTCCAGCGTATATAGTCAGCATTTTTTATTTTAAATATTTTTTTCTTTTTTTTTTCTCTTCTTTCCCTTTTCTTTTCTTTTCTTTTTTTTCTTTTCTCCCCTCGCCGGCCTGTTGCCGGTGGCCGGCCGGCCACCGGCGAAGCCCAGGAAGGGCTGGGCGAGGGCGGCCTTGCCCATGGCCGGTGAGGGGCGGCCTCGCCGGCGATAGGCGAGGCCGCCTCGCCGCCCGCGAGGCCGCCCTCGTCGGCCCGGGCGAGGGCTGCCCTCGCCGGATCTGCGAGGCGACCCTCGCCGGCGTCGAGCGAGGGAAGCACTCGCACAGGGCGGGCGAGGGTCGCCCTCGCCGGATCTCGGCGAGGGCGACCCTCGCCCGGCGTCGGACGAGGGTCGCCCACGCCCGACTCGGGCGAGGGCGACCTCGCCCGCCCGGGCGAGGGCTTCCCTCGCCGGCGTCGGGCGAGGGTCGCCCACCCCCGACTCAGGCGAGGGCGAGGGTCGCCCTCGCCTGTCGCCGGCGAGGCCGCCCCTCGCCGGCCATGGGCAAGACCGCCCTCGCCCAACCCTTCCCGGGCTTTGCCGGTGGTCGGCCGGCGAAGGGAGAAAAGAAAAAAAAAGAAAAGAAAAAGGAAAGAAGAGAAAAAAAAATATTTAAAATAAAAAAATGCTGATTGTACACGTTGGAAAAAATTATTTAAAATAAAAAATGCTGACTTTACACGCTGACTCAGCCTCCGGCGAGCCACATCGGGGTCAAAAATTAATAAAAAATGCCACGTCGGATTTCCGGCCAAATTGGCACTAAAGTGATATCTTTTCCTCCGACTTGGCACCAAAGTGATCTGAAAAAAAGTTATGGCACCAAAGTGATCGCCGTACACAAGTTATGGCACTTCTTGTGTACTTTTTCCTTTAGACATCTATATAAACCCACTTCGAAGGGACTCATGACACATATCTTCCACGGTTGTCTCTAATAATCAAGCCCAAATTTCCTCTATATTATCCCAAAAAACTCTCTGCACAGTCACAGCTTACACAATCAAGCCGACATACTTGGAAATGGAGAAGGATCAAGCCAAGCTTAGTGCGTCGGTCATTCTATTGGTGATTGCATCTAGTAGGTTTCTCTCATCTCTCGTCTATTATTATTATTATTATTATTATTATTATTATTAGTAAATGTAGAACTGCACTGATGAATTTTCCGAACTTTCCTTTTCTAAGGTCTTGCTGTCTCCCAAGCTGCAGAAGAAAGAGTAGCGTGTCATCTAGACATCACGGGCAGAGGTCAAGTGTGTCCTGTCGGGTATCATCCGGTCATTAAAAATGCCGAATGTTTCTGTGTTCCATCAAGGCGCCAGGTCTACGATCACGCCTTTTGTATTCCAGAGCAGTGTGATACCGGGTCTCATCCCGTCTTTAAAGACGGCAAATGTGTATGTGTTCCGATCGCAAGGTGAGGCAACGGAGACCTTTGAGCGAATCGATCTCGTTCTCAATAAGACGTGTTGAACCATCACAAGCTATTGACTTATTTTTAGCACTTGCTTCATTCGTGTGCGCGTAATGGCTATGTCCCCATGAGATTGAGCTCTTTCGTCGTGAAAAATGACGTCAACCCAAGTCAAGACAATCTAATATCTAAACTCGACTAGCCTCCTACAGTGGAGCTTCGCGTCGACTCCATTTCAATTGTCGAGCTTAAACTCGGCTCGATGAAATGTTATATTTGCTCGAGCTCCACCAATGTTATGAGGGCAAACTTGCGCTGCAAGTAGAATTTATAGTTACTTTACTATTAAATTAGTCATATTAATAGTGGTTATTTTATAATGACGGGCATCGTCTCAAAAAGATAATGACTATTTAACAACGGTAGTGTCACAATGGCATTTTTCATCCATGATTTAAACAGAGGCTTCATATGGAGCCACATCAGAGAAGTTGAAATTGATTGAATAAAAAAAAATTGAGGTGCTCCGCTATAAAACGGACAAAAATTCAGGGTTATTGTCCCGACAAGTAATTTTAACAAGGGACCATGGGACAATATTTTTCTGATACGATGGGTCACGTCAGAACAACGCAACCGTGCAAGTAGGAAATACAACAGATCGTGTCTATTACTTCGTTGAGAAATATTAAGTACATCATCAGTAGCCTTGCCAATAAAAGCAAATGCTCAGTAGCATGATCTGAGCTTTGAAAGTGTGACGACCCTATATTAACTCACTTGAAGTTGTTCTCTTTGACCTGTTTCATACCGAGCATCACGATTTATCCTTTGACATATAAGTGGACAATTTTCATGGACATCACCAATCCCAAAGGGCTCTCACCTGAGTGCGCTTAACACTGGAATTCAAATGTGAAATTTGCCATTACGTCAAAAGACGCCTCTCATACCTCAGCTAGTTGCACCAATAGTCACGATGGCGGCTATGTTTGTGGCCATCCGAAGGAGCCAAAATGCTCGATCTGTGCTGGGGGTCTATGTGTATGCTTGTGTAACCATTGATTGATGCGTGTTGATACTATTGAGTATTCGACTTATTTTTTGTGGTCTCGAAAATTTCCAAGGGTCAAAATCGATGGATTTCGGGCATTGCCATTGATTGCACTATAGTATCCGATAACTCGGTGATCAAAAGCGATGATCATACTCCTTATGTAGGTTAGACGAACGATTGACGATTAAGAGAATAAAAAATTGGATATTCGGTCCTAAAAGATAGTGCTGAAATTGAGGATATAAAGGGAAATTTGAAGATATCAAAGATCCATTTTAGGTTGCGTTCGTATTTGAGCATCTTTTCATGCCACTCGACAATTAAGCTATGACAAATACGCGAAGACTCGTGCAACAAGGGTCAGAAAAGCTAATTGTAACATATTTCCATTTAAAAATAGGGAAAATACCATCAAAAATCCCAACCTATGTCACTTGTGAAAAATTTAACCTGAACTTTTTTTTTTTACACAAAAAACCCTAAACTATGCTATTGGTGACACATTTACCCCATAATACTTTGGCCAAGGGCATTTTCGTCTTTTTTCTTTTTATGTTTGTTTTTTCCTTTCTTCTCTCTTCCCTCCACCGTGGCTAGCAAGGGCAGCCCTCACCGGCATTGGGGTGGGGCGAGGGCGACTCTCGCCTGACGCCGGTAAGGGTCGCCCTCGCCCGATGCTGTCGAGGATTGCCCTCATCGGATCCGACAAGGGCGACCCTCGCCGGCGTTAAGCAAGGGCTGCCCTCACCCGCCCAGGCGAGGGCGACACTCGCCCGACGCCGGCGAGGGCAGCCTTCACCCAACCCCAACGCCGGCGAGAGCGGCCCTCGCCGGCTTCCCTCCCCCATGGCCAGCGGAGGGAAGAGACAAGAAAGAAAAAAAAAAAACAGAAAGAGGAAAAAGACAAAAATGCCCTTGAGCCAAAGTATTATGGGGTAAATGTGTCACAAGTAGCATAATTTGGAGTTTTTCATGTCACAAAAATACATTCAGGGTAAATTTGTCACAAATGGCATAGTTTGAGGTTTTTGGTGGCGTTTTCCCTTTAAAATATAACATTACCCATTAATAAAAAAAAAGGGAAAAAGCCACCAAAAACCCCAAACTTTCCCACATGTGACACATTTACCCTGAACCTTTTTTTTGTGACACCAAAAACCCCAAACTTTGCTATTTGTGACACATTTACCCAATGCATTTAGTCCATGGGCATTTTCGTCTTTTTTGCTTTTTC